GCGTCGCACGGAGCTTCGACCTCTGCGCCAACGGAACGCAGACAAACGAAGGTCACGAGCGGTGAGCGGCGAGCGCGACGGATGCGGCTCCGGCTAGAGTGGGAATTAGGGGTTGCCGGGTTGGGGCACTTCCACTTGGGCCGGCTCCCGGTTGGGCTTATTGGGCCTAATTTTCTTCCCTCCCCATTTTTCCTTGTGCCTTGTTGCGCTCTCTCGCGTTGGACGTAGGACGCCGCCGCTCCTTCGGTGGCCGAAAGGGAGGAAGACAGAGGGGTACTAGTGGTGCTGCTCCGGCGGTAGGTGGGGCAGCTGCCCCACCCTGCCGCATGGGGGAGCTCTGCCTATGCCTCAGACCTGGAGGCTGGGACCTATGGGCTGCCGACAGCCGGCTGGTCTGGCGCCCTGGACGCTGCCGTGGCACCTCCCTCGTGGCCCGCTCGGTCGCTCGTCGGGTCACTGGCGGCTGTGACTAGCCACCCCGCACGCCTACCGCTTCAGGACTTCTTCTGTGCTTGCTGCTCCCTACTTCTGCTTTGCCTTGCGGCTATATGCAACCGCCACGTCGGGAAGGCCGCTGGCCAGCGCACGGTGTGTGTGCGCCTAGAGTTAGGTTCCTCAGATAGCATATGCCAAATCTAATCATCGAGCCCAAGAAAACCAAGTAGACTCAATGTGGATAACTCCTTGCCATTTACCTTACAAAACAAAGTTAGTTATATGTCCTTGTGTTCGTCAATCAACGAAACCTGAATTAGGGTCCTCTACCTGTTTAGATGTGGTATAGTTCAGTGGCGGCGATAACGTTGATGGCGCGGAGTGATGGTGTGGATAGCTTGAGGAGGAAAATTAGGAGGTCAAGGAAGATGATGCCATGCTGAGTAGCGGCAGAGCAGCCACAGGAGAGAAGAGAGAGCATCCTGAGAATAAAAGGGGAAGACAAGGGCATAATAGACATTTACCCGTATTATCTCTCCTTATGAATTCAAAAGAAATCAATATTATAATTGTTCTGAGTGTTAGGGGCAAACAACCACAATTCCCTAGTGGTACCTAGCAAAAATATGGCGTTCACGATGCGAAATGACCAATACCACCATTCTTGGTTCTTTCGCAACAAAATTTCCCTTTACAAATAACAAAAACAACAAAATTCAATGCACGTTTAGATGCTACTTTCTCCATCCAAACATATATAATTCTAATATATATATTACAATAAGCCAGATGGACATATATAATTCTAATACATATATTACTATAAGCCAGATGGCTTTTGGATTTGATGTTTTAAAAATCATAATCACCCAATAGCAAAAGAAAGGGGGAGACGTTATTATAGTTTCTCAACTATTGTCCGATGCTCAATTTTATCTTTGAACTTTCAAAATGATAATTCCAGTACTCAAAGTTTACTTTGGAGCTCAGTTTCATCTTGGGATTACTTTTGGGCTCAGTTTCTCAAAAGTATAAAGGGGTCATTTCGGTCATCAAACTTTCTTTCTTTGGTTTAATTTCATCCATAAACTATCAAAGTATATTTTAATCCTCAGACTTTTCATTTTAGCTCTACTTCGTCCACCGTTCTATGTAGAGTGCCACACCATTGTGCCTGATTAGCTCCAGCACAACCCACAATTGGAGATAAAAATAATAGTATTCATGTAGTTACTGTGGGCCATGAATACCCTCATCATACGCCTCAACCAAGACGGAGTCGGCCGAACGAGCTATGAAGGAGATTCAATCTGGACAGGAGATCTCGACTACTTGGTGGATAAGACATATACTAAATATACTTAGAAGACATCAATATGTAAGAGATCTACTCTATCTGATCCCTACTTGACGTAACAAGCTACTATATCCGTTCTAAATTATAAGTTGTTTTGACTTTTTTGGTTCATCCATTTTGCTATGTATCTTTATCTAGATGCATAGTAAAATGGATATACCAAAAAAATTAAAGCAACTTATAATTTAGAACGGATGGAAGTAGAAAACAACAAGATACGGTTAGGGTTACCTGATGTTAAACATATCTTTCGGACTATCTAAGGAGTAGGGTCCCCTATATCGTCATCTTGGTTCTTAACCATAACCTTCACATCATCAACACCCCTGCACCCCAGCGTACGATGCACTGGAGAATCAATTCTCTATTAGACTTTGGGTACCATGTATCTGAATCAGTATAAACTTTCTCTTGTGCTACTGTTTTGATTTCTTATGCACAATACGATGATCACTACTCAAACGCTAAATCCTCATCTTTAGTGGATGGTCTAAAAACTCTTTAGTGGCTAGTAATAATGTCTAAAAACTATCTTAGCGATTATTAATAATTCTAATGCGTTATTTTAAATGTTACCTTGTAATGGTACCATTTATACATACTATTATATTGCTTTTGTGGAAATAATTATATATGCTATGGACACTATTTAGTACCTTGAGAACACATTGATGAATTAGAACAATAACATATTTACAATTTTTCCTCAGCTATTTCAAGTGTCAGACTCAACTGATAATATTTAGTTATTAAAATGAAAAAAATAAAATTACAATTGGGCAATATGATAGCTAATTTGATTGATCCAATTATTGATATTTAAGGACATTCAGCTCTATATTTATATTTATTTAAAATATGGATATAAATATCAAAAAATGGTATCCGATTCGATAGTTGGGGACGATGTCAAAGACACTGGTACCAAATGATGATCGTCTATCTTGAATCGCGGGTGGTCCTGGAGTTGACCAAGTGCGGCACCGCGATGGTCCGTGTCGGATAAGGGGCATAGTTGAACCAATAAAAGCGATGTTTAAAGACTAAAATACACTTTGGTAATTTATGGATAAAACATAAAACAATCACTTTGTTGAAACTTTAGCCTAAAAAGATTTTGTTGATTGAAATAGTTATTTTAAAAATTCAGGGACCATCTGTACCGTCCAAAAGAAACCCTGAACCCAAGGAGCAAGGACCATACCACTTGACTCTAACCTTTTAAAGGACAAGGATTTATTTTGGGAGAGACTAGCGTCCGGACATCTGGACGCAACACCCGGGTGTCCGGACGCGGCGCCCGTCTGGACTCCCGCGCGTACTGCCCTCTTACACGTATGCATGCAGCTCCGCCCGCTCATGGTGGTGGCTTTCGCTGCTGCTGCGGCCGCGATCGCGTCTTGTCCCTCGCCGCACCGCCCGCCGTAATCGCTATTGTTGTTGTCGCCACGTGCCGCCGCCTGACCTACTTTGGTGCTCATGTATTCAAATTGTCCCCGTCCCCTGTACCAGGACCGCGGGTGTGCATGGTCCCATGCACTCGCGCATTCAATGGAACGAACGCCGAGGCCCAGGACCTGGATCCGTACGCATGCGCCTGCGGCTAGACATGCACGTGGGGTTGTCGTGCCTGCTTCGCTCCCCGTGCCCGCTCGTGGAATACTTGCAACATAAAGCATTTACAACATACGTTTGCAACCTATGTGTATCACCACTGCAACATACGCAACATCTAGATAAAACACTTGCAACATACGTTTTAAACAGTTAAAACATTTGAAACATACACTTGCAACCATATGTAACATCGAGATAAAACACTTGCAACATACGTTTGAAACAGCTAAAACATTTAAAACATACATTTGCAACGTACTTATATAGCCATTGCAACATATGCAACACCAGATCTACTTTTGTAACATCCAGATAAAACATATGCATCATACATCTAAAACGCATGAAACATACTGTTGCAACATGTGCTCATCTACTTGCTACACCCTAATGGAGGCTCGTTGACATAAAACTCGACGTCAGCACGGAGCTCGAGGTCGCCCATGGGTCGACAGGTGGATGGGTCGAGGCCGCAGCGGGAGGTGTGAGGCGCAGGGGAGCGCATGCGAGGCGCGAGGCATGGGGCACGGGCGGGGCGCGAGGCGCGACACTAGCAAGGGCGCGCTGCGCGAGTCACAGGGGCGCACGACGCGAGGCAGGTGGGTCGGTACCGTTTGACAAAAGACAGACGCCCTGAAGATATTATTATCGATTTATTTTTATCCACCAAAGACTTTGGCCCTATAATTTTTTTTGGCAGGAAACAAAGAGTTTGGTCAGGGCCATCAGTTCACAAAAGCATATACTTCCACTTTGTGTATGCCTAACTCCAAGGAAAAAGCGAAAGGACCAAAATTTCCACTAAGGCAGAGACTGATACTGTTGCCTGACTCCTGTGATGGTTTCTCTGCGAAACGAAGTTAGGAGCAGAATCACCGCACACAAACACCTCCAAAATACGCCCAAAACATCCCTCTCCTCCCTTCCGTGCCGTCGCATTTCCACGTTCTAAAATGAAAAAGACTTTAAAAATCAACAAAAAATTTAAATTTCCAGATTTGGAAGTACTGTTACGTTAGCAGGAAATCAATAAAATATTTTTTAAAAAAAAATGCGCGTTCGTTTGAACGTCAAATTCGTCGTCGGACTTCTTCTCATCGTCCTCTCCCCGTCCCCGTACCTTCCGTTCCCTTTCTCCCATTCGCACGCCGCCTCGTGCCCTCTTCCTCCCAGATCTCGTGGCCATCGCCATTCCCCCCTCCGCTACACGCCGAGCGCCTCTGCACCCAGATCAGGCGTCTCCGCTGCACCTCGCGTCCTCGCCCCCGCCCCCGCCCCCACCGTCGCGGCCTCGCCCTCGCCCTCTCCCGTGGAGGACTGCCGCGGGGTTGTGACGAGAGGAGACCCGCCGGGGCAGGCTCGGAACTGGTTGCTGGTTGGTCGGCTGGTCGATCCCTTCGTTTGTTGGTGCGTGAGCCCGGGGTTTGGATACTTTGGCTCCGTCTGTTGCGGACTGGATTGGTTTGGATTGGATTCGTGCGGCTGCTGCGTCGCCGAGTGCTGATTCCAGCTTGTTCCCCCCCTGAGATTGTACGAGACGGACCGCCCTCTGGCGCGGAGGCCGCACAGGCTCGGCGGCGCCGGCGGCGAGATGAAGGGCGCGACCATCCCCTCGGTCGCGATCATGCCCTCGCCGCTCTTCCTCTGGCGGTTTAAGGTCCCAACTCCTTTTTTTTCTTTCCTGCTTGGCCTTTGACGTGCTGTGAAGAGGAATTAGTTTAAGTTCAGTCCCTGCTCACATGGATACCCAAGTCAGGTGCTCATTGCTTAATTTGTCTCTTGAGGTTTGGCGATGCACCAATTCATGAATGCAACTTTTGTTAGTACATTAATATGCATTGAGTTGCTGTTAGTACCAGGATCTGTTAATTGTCGACTTGAAACAATGTTGGTATGCCTTGCATCATTTTCCTGAGAAATAGTATCTGTTGTGATCACATTTGGAACTAACCCAATTTCATTGGAGTTCGCAAGGAACCGCTCTTCTTATCAAAAAGCATGTTGTAGTGGAAACAGTAGCTTAGGGACTGTTGAGTTAACGGTCCCCTTTCTGCACTGTGAAGAGTGTAGCGACCATTCACAGAAAGTGATTCTAATTGTATATTGCTTAATTTAGCCCTTAAGATATTGCAACACACCCATTTCACGAAACAAAACTGTGCCCATACGAATTGAATTATATCTAGTTTTCACCTTGCAATTAGGGATTCAAAACTGTGCCCATACGAATTGAATTATACGGAACTTACTTGTAGTTCTTGAGGAGTTTCTCTATTACACAAAGCACATTGTAGCGACCTTAATAACTTATGGAGAGTTGAGGGTTTAGGAGAAGTTGCCGGTCAGACTAAGCTTTTCTGAACATTTACCTCACACCTGTTCGCCTGCGAAATGGTCTGTTACTTTGACCTGGGTGGCAAAATTACGTGAGGAGCTTCTGTTTTGTGTTCTCCTGTCACTTGGTATTGAATTACCTCTAAAGGCAGGAATATGTTAGCATGTCATTTTATAATGCTACTATTACCAACAATGCTGAACAGCACTTTATTTATTTTTTCTTTGCTTCAACATTATTGTGTGTGAAGGGCGGGCCTGGTGCAAGCGGTAGAGTCTTACCGCCTGTGACCGGAAGGTCCCGGGTTCGAGTCGCGGTCTCCTCGCATTGCATAGGCGAGGGTAAGGCTTGCCACTGACACCCTTCCCTAGACCCCGCACAGAGCGGGAGCTCTCTGCACTGGGTACGCCTTTTTTCAACATTATTGTGTGTAAAACTGACCGCATGCAGTATCTGTAATGTTTTGTACCTAAGCTGCTAAGCATCATCTGTTACAAATGTGTGATTTTAGTCATACATAATAAACTGCTGGCCCTCCTGTTCCTTTTCAGGCTGTGTTGTTTCTTCTATGGGGCTTATGTTGTTGCAAGGTCAGTCTTGATGTGCTCCATCAATGACTTCAGATTATGCATTATATGAGTTTCTCGTTTGTTAATTCGGTATTTCTCTTGGCATTACAGATAAGTTGGGACTCAGTTATGAGAATGAGTGTTGATCTCAGAGACTTATTTCTTTACGAGGCTTTCTTGTACTATAATCCTCTTCTTCTTGTGGTGAGTTATCACTGTACTCCTGTTATACTAATAAAAGGTTATTCCTATATAATAGGCAACAAATTAAGGCCCTCTGTTTGCATCTATGTAACTGTGATTCTTGTCTTTATTGTAGGCCTTGATGATTTGGTTGTGGGGAGTAAATCTATGGGTCTTTGCACAATCATCTGTGAATTATGCAAAAGTGTTTGATCTTGCACAAACACATTTATCTCACCGAGAGATATGGAGGGTATGCTTATCAGACTCTTCTCTTTGCATTTTCCGTTTTTTTTTAAAATACTTCATTTTGATTTTACTGTGATTCCTTTTCCTTTGGAAGTGCATCTATACTACTGGTTTGGCTTGAGTGCTCAGTTCACAACTATCTGTTCTGTTGAGTTGCACTGCAATAGTTTGCACCACAACTATACTTGTAGATTTCTGTGGGCAAGCATGATGAACTTGCTTTCCTGTGTAAAATGTACTCTACTGTGTTTCTTAAGCAATATGATTCACTGGTACATTTCTAGTTCTAAATCATTTTGATGATTGGTCCTCTTTTCAATCTGGTTCTCGTATATCAGGATTTCTAGACGCATATCATGTTTGTTGTTTCTGCCTTTTGTCAATATTCTTTATGCTGCCTTCAACTCTTTTCAATCTGAAGTTATTTTTTGTAAGTCCTTCCATATTATTTGTATTTGACACATTATTCTGCTACGATGACATGCAGTGTTTTTTGTTGTTTTATTGACAGTGTGCTACTTGGCTGACTTTAATTGTCCCTACTAGCATGACAGCCTACCTATATCTGTACTCACATGGAGAAGTGTCTCTTGCAGCATCTCAACCAGTGTAATATCTAGCCTATTCAGCATTAATTCATTCACTGCTTTATTCATCTTCCTTTTGTGCTTGAGCTCATGAGACACTTTGGTTTATTTCTTATAATTGCTTATTATGTTTTTGGTAGTGCTTCCGTCGAGCCAGTATTGCTTAAAAATAATGAAATGTATATAAGAATATAATCCCCTGGATTCACTCATTCAGTATCTGTATGCTAAACAGTGTTAATTGATAACTGTCATCCCGCGTCGTAATAGAAAATCTGAAGAGTAGTTTATACAAGGTATTAGTTTTACAGAAGATCTGAGTGGTAGTTTCCTATGTGTTAGCTTTACAGAAATCTGTGACGGCTTGTCTCTGTCAAAAGAAATGACCCAAAACAATTCAGTGAAACATAGCAAGGCATATCTTGTCAAAGTATACACAAGATTGGTGCACATACTGATGGTTGCATGTAATGCTTTTTACAAAAATAAAAAAAATTGAAGAACGTGTTACCTAGTCATTCATTCAGTTGAGGAGTAGAATACCATGCTATATATTCCATGCTCATGCGCCAATTTTCAGATCCAGGGTGGTGAACTAATTGACATATCTTCTTGCCTCTTTGCAGGTTCTCTTGTATGCTATTCTTCTGATGATCCTCCTTTCTCCTTTTGATATGTTTTACTTATCATCGCGCTTTTACTTTCTGAGGACAGTCTGGCGTATAATACTGCCTTTACAAGTAAGTTGTACAATTTATTAGTGATGATAAATTTTTTAGTCATTCTACAAACAGTATGATATGGTTTGTTGTGGCTAGGATTACCTGATTGTACCCATGGAGGACAATTGAATCATAACAAACTACTAATGATCCCCTGTCCCCTTTGCTGCAGGCAATTACATTTCCTGACTTCTTTTTGGCTGATATTTTTACATCCATGTCAAAGGTATGTATTAGTTTGTCGAGAAGTATTGATTGTAGACTCTTTTCTCGTTTATCGAGAAGTATTGATTGTAGACTGTTTTCTTGTTTGACACATCCCAACTTGGAGACAAAGGGACAGGACCGGCTGTTAATATTAATATGACTCTACTTCTCATATTGGGTTTAGTATAATATATAATACATTTTTGTAGTACAAACATTACCTTTTGACTATATGACACAGTAATGCTGTTCCTTAATTTTCAAAAGTAGAAAAGCGATTCTAAGTTGTAACTCCACCATCATCTTGAGTTATAACATGTTTTATTTTTGATGTTCTGTCCTGCCATTTCTTGATTTGCTTCAACTCTACACAGGTGTTCTCAGATCTGGAGCGTTCGGTTTGTCGTATGGTGAATCGCCAGGTTGGTTTCTTGCATGTGCTCTTTGCTATGCACATACTTTTGTCATCAGTTTAAATTCTCGTTGGGACTCAAATCTCTCATTCCTGTAATGTTTCTCATTTTCATATTTTACAGGTTGCAACAACCGCTTGGTTTGAAGCAGATTCTGTTTGTGGCAGTCATTCTGTAGCTATTCCTCTTGTTCTCGTGTTCCCCTACTTGTGGCGTTTCTTCCAATGTCTCCGGCAGTACAAGGATACAAAGGAGAAGACATGTCTCTTCAATGGTATTCATTCATCAAGCATTAATTTTGATTGTTTATTTGTTTTGCAGGAGACTTGTATGTTTACTTCTATACCTTTCTCTAGAATAACTTGCCATTTTTTTTATATCCTGAATCCAGCTCTCAAGTACTCGACAGCAATTCCTGTGATTTTCCTTTCTGCTCTCAAGTATCATGTATATCCTGATCAGTGGGTTGGCTTCTACCGGCCCCTCTGGCTTATCTCTAGTGTTATAAATTCACTGTATTCCTTCTACTGGGATATTAAGCGAGATTGGGATTTGAGGTTTGTGGCGTCTTTACATAATGACTTTACTATTTGTTCAGCATTTCACACATCCCTATTGCTGCTGCTAATGAGCTTTGCTTTACATACCTGCAGCATCCTAACCAGGATTTTCATGTTCAAAAACCCAAGCATATGGACTAATCTTCTTTACGGGCAGAACTGGGTATGAACTTGAACAAATAAATGCTTCTTATCTTAGTTATCTCCCTGGACAATTTTGTCACTGGTCTGTTCTGTACAAATTGTACAGGTTTTCTACTGGGTATTGGGCAGCAATTTGGTTCTGCGATGCACATGGACATACAAGCTCTCGGCGCATCTTCGGCACAACTACCTGACAGTGTTCACCATAGCATCTCTGGAAATACTGAGACGGTGGCAGTGGGTGTTCTTCCGAGTCGAGAATGAGTGGAACAAGATGACAGCCAAACAAAACTTGGAGATGTCATCTGACATGCCTTCCGAAGGAGACAGGCTACTGGATTCTAGTAACCATACAGTATGAGCTGAACAGAACAGTAATATCATATTTTGAGATACAGATTCATCACCATTCTTTTAGCGTGACCATTATAGCCAATTTTACGTCGACAGTTCAGATTTTGTCTGTAGAGCTCAAAAGGTTAGGGATACATGATAGGTTTCTATATAAAAAAAAGTTGAAATTTGTTGGCGGCTACGGATGTAATCCTCTCGTGGGGTTGTATACTGTTGTAACCCTCTTGAATCCAACAGGAGGTATTTGTTGACACATGAAAGAATAATAGTAATGCTGAAATTTTATGAACTTTTTTCAGATTGTCTCCGCTTACGACTATTGTCCTGCCTTTATATTTGATGTGTACCAAATATGTACCTGCACTAAATCATGAGTTTTTCACCCAGTACTTATCTCTTTTATCTTGTTTATCATATCCTTGTTGAGTGCCATGTAGCAGACAAACTGCTTGCGTGAGCAAGACCTTTCATATCACCAGTTTATCAGATGGTTGGGACCTGATGAAGTAACATCATAGCACTATAGAAAATAAAAGACAAAAAACTTTGAATCCAAGGAGCTGAGTCTAATGGTATATGATGTGATCCAATCATTGTATCCAGTATCCACCCACAGAATGAAGATATTTTGGAAATTATTAAAAAAAAGGCCTGAACCCAGAACAAAAAATGAAACATTTACTAATACAAACATACTTTGTTTAATTACTTGAGCATGATTCATAAAACACCAAGCAGGCAAGCAATATCATACAAAGATGCTCCCAAAACAATCCTTGCATATCCATGGCTCCATCCTTGCAGTAACTTAACATACATGCTATATCTACTTCTCTGGCACTATAGGCGATTATTTATTTGCACCGGCCTGTTCTTGACAATCTACACAAGAAGAGGCGATCCATGGCATTTGCTTAATCTGCACAAAGAGACGAGCGACTAATAATCCTATATTACAGGCAGCTACGGCGCCGAGAAGGCGTCGTCGAGCGGCCACGGGAGGTGCCGTTCGGCGCCGTCCACGCCGTCCGGCTCCGCCGGCTGCGGCGGCGACGCCGGAGCCGGCGCCTGGACCATGGAGCGCAGCGTGTCGCGGAGGCGGTTGTGGCGCCTCCGGTGGCGGATGCGGCGCAGCACGGCGTCCCTGTCCAGCGCCCCCGCCCCGGGGCGCAGGTACAGGCAGCTCGTCACCGGCGCCGCCTCACCCTCGACGCTGCTTTTGCCGCCGTCGCCGTACCCAGCCGGCTGCGGCCCGTTCTTGGACACCATGGACGACGACATGGCGAGGCAAGTGCCTTCCTCTAGTTGGTTTTGGTTCCACCTGATTTGCTAGCTCGAGACAAAGGGAGAAAGCAAGTACGCTAATGGCGACGTGAGAGAGGGAAAGAGAGGGATGAGTGAGATTGAGATTGAGAGAGGTGAAGGTGGCAATGGCGAGCTTATTTATAGACGGCGATGGAGTGGGAGCTAGCGTGCTTAGTAACCACTCTAACCACAATTATTTACGCTTAATCATTCATTTAAAAATTGGAAAGGGACTCGAAGCAAGAAACAGGTAGCTGCCGGACATGGTTTCACGTGTCACCGCCGCCTGTTTGCTTTGTTTATTTTCTTCGTTCCGTCAGTCATTGACAATTTGACACTGATGATCGATGATGACTCCTCGAGCACATTCCACCATCGTCTTCACCTTTCTACTGCCTAGTAAGCAGATGCTAATGACACGCGTGTGCTCCCAGATTCGTGCTGTCACCCGTCAGGGCAGCCAGTAAAAAAAGGCCGGGATGGTAGGATCCTGAAAACAAATTGTATTTAGACATTTAGTGTGAAAACGAATGACCGACCGTAGTATAGCTAGGATTTACCTTTTTCTCCTTTAATTCTTTTTTATTTGGAGGTACTCCTACTTGTTATTCCATGGACTACTTTATTGGCTTTGCAGACAAACCTAAAATAGTTTGGTCAGACCAGACCAGAGACGATTAAGCACTAGTATAGTAAACACTAAACACTAAGCAGTGGCATCCAACGTCGGTGGCCACTGATTAAACTAGGATTGGCTACAGTGCCGTTGGGCTGTCTCGGTAAACTAGTGCTAGGGCCCAGCAAGAATCCACCGTCCAAGCATGGAGTTGCACGGTGACGGAGGTACACGTTCATCAGCCTTTTCGTTTAAGCTGGATTGGCTTATAAGTCATGGGCTGAAGTACTGCTGGCTGGTTTGGTGTGAGAGAAAAATATGGTTGACTGACCTGATAAGCCAAGGCAGACACAGAGAGTTACAGGCTGCACGTCGGTGACACTGGCTCCATAACCGACAACGCACGGCCAACGCTTTTGTTCAGCTGCAGCACAGTAGCAACTGCCAGGAAATGCGGTGAGGAATCGGGACCAAGTCAGGAGTCTCAGATCCAGATATCCAATCCAATGGACTGACACTGACCTTATCCGTTGTGACTGACACCGTCACACGAACGCAGTCTCGCCCCTGTCTCAGCATCTCTCTGGGTTCTGTGGTTGTACTGAATCTGAATGGGGGTTTACCCCATTTGGCACTGCAATGAGCCAAGTGAATTTGTGAAGAAGTTCCCAGTTCCGTGTTCGGCTGTTCCCACAACCAGATTTTGCGTACAGCATCTGGACGAGATTAGCCTTGGTTCATTTATAGGAATTTTACAGAAATTATACAGGAATTAGCTCATTTTTCATAGGAAAACGCAGGAAACATGAAAATTTCCCACATTCCAAAGGAGGCCTCAAACCAAGTTTGTATCATGTGTCTGTTCCAACTTCAAAACCAGAGCGCAGCCACAAGCTGCTTGAATTTGTTGCCAGTTCAGCAATAAGTTTCATGTATATTTCCCAATTTCAAAGTTCCAAATGTGGTGCTAGCCAGTATAACCAATAATCCATCTGTTACACATAATTACACGTTTCAAGCTCATATTTTTACAACACATGGCCACCAAAAAGCTTGAGTGGTCTACACATCTATCTGGTAGACCCTCAAAACCTACATACACACAAAAATGTTAACGTGAGGCCACAACCCGCCTGCGCTATTTTTTCACTCAGATACATGTAATTACATCAGAAACCCTCAACATGGGGTCCAAAAAAAATGTACACAAGAAGCACATTTACGTCAGGATAGAATACACACCATGACCAATTGTAAGTACATGTATATATATATACTCTATGCACACATAGGAGCCTTGCGGGTCAGTGCAGAATCTGATTGTTGATCCAGCTCATTGCAGTTAAATAATCTGCTGGCTGATGTTACGCCGGAGCCTGTCCTCTGGACTGAAGCACTGGTGGCATGGCTCGTAACCTGTCGGTGACCTCGGTGAATGAGGGGCGGGCATCTGGATTGGCCGACCAACATTGCTCCATCAGCTTTCGCCAATCGGGGTCACACTTTTCAGGTATTGGAGGCCGGAGAGTGTTATTGACAATACCGCCTTCTCACAACAAATAATGCTAGTTAAATGGAGGATCCAACAAGACTAAAGAGATTTCAGATGCTGAGAGTGTGAACTAATGACAAATTGTATTTCGATTGCTTCCTTTTTCCTTATAAGTATAAATGCTGACATTCTTGGGAAAAAAAACATTTGAGAAATGTATCAATGCTGAAAGGCAAACAGTGGATGGGAATTGCGGATACATACCTATGATAGCGCCACAATGCATATTTGCATACGGTTCCTCACCAGTCAAGATCTCCCATAAAACTATCCCAAAGGAGAATACATCCACCTGCATGTATCACATACTCATTACATATCAAGCGGCCATGGTTGCGTATGCAAGGAATGATCAGGAATGCGGTGGAAAAAACTTGCCTTCTCAGAGACTTTGCTGCTGCTACCATTCAGTAACTCTGGTGCCATCCATGGAAGAGTGCCGCGTACACCACCAGAAACCAAAGTGTTGCGCTTGATTCTTGACAACCCAAAGTCTCCAACCTAAGAATTAGAAACAAATTCTTAATGTAACAGTGCAAACAACATGAGAGTTGGAAGGCCAAACCAAGGCAAAACTTTGCTGTTCACTGGCAATGAACACAAACTCCTAATAATTCACCCCAGCTCTTGATGAACCAAACCTACCTTGCAAATTGGCCTCTGAGGATCTCTCAAATTAACAAGTAAGTTATCGCATTTCAAATCAAAATGCACTATGCTTTTGGAGTGCAAGTATTCCATCCCAAATGCCGCATCCATAGCAATGGTAAGTTTTCTCCGACGATCAAGCATTCTACACAGATTTAGTAAACAGTCACATCATTGTGCACAGTGGAAAGCATCCAACAGAAACATACAAGACCCACCTGTCTTTCCTTAAAAGAACATTCCTCAGTGAGCCATTCACCATGAATTCAGTGACAGTTGCCAGTGTTCCTCCAGTTCCATCAGGGACCACACCATAGAAAGCGACAACATTTGGATGATGTAACTTTGAAAGAATCTTTGCTTCCCTCCAAAAGTCATTGGTCTGTGGAAAAAGAAGTTTTAACATTAAAATCGGAAAAATTAAATAATAATGGATGTAAATAATAAATAAAAGGTATCTGTTCCAACAATCACATCAACCTTATTATCAGTGTTTTCCTGTTTGGTGTCCCCTTTTTTGCATGGATGATGAAGCCATCAAATGGTTAAAAAGATTAAAGGAAACAATACTCACAAGTTTCTCTTGTTCAGATGATCTTCCAGCAAAACAGCTTTTTTTAATGCGCTTGATAGCAACATCAGTTCCTCGCCACTTTCCATAGTATACAGTTCCAAATGTCCCGGATCCCAGTTCACGTAGCTCCTCGAGGTCACCATTTTTTATGATCTGTTCATCAAATCACAACCACCACATGTTTCTATCATTTGCATGTCATTGATAAAACGCGTGACAATGTTGTTTTGTAAATCAGATAACAATCTTGATTAAGAATAAATTTAGAGCATGGGAGAGCTGCACCTGTAATCCATACATGCTGGCTTCAAGTTCAGCAACTACAGCATCACTAATGGACCCATCGGCAACTCCATCATCATGATCCTGAGATTTGGAACATGAACGCGAGATGCTCAAACATCAATGTGGATGAATAATAATATATAAATATAGGCTATACCTCATTAGCTAACTCTGGCCCGTCGCTCCTAGTATCATCATCCTTCTGTGATGAAAGAATCACCTCTTGCTGTTCTTCAGCTGCCATTACAACCTGAGGAACAACTGGTCTGGAGGATGGAATGCCTGAAGGCACATTATCAGTCACATCCTCAACTATGACAGGTACATTCATTTGAACATTATCGTGCTGCCTGTGTGCTAGCTTTATGTCTTCATTATTGGTGGTGATATGGTCAAATCTAATTATTCCTTCACTGCAGGCGATATTGCCCCAATCACAAAGGGCATCCTCTCTCCTAGAAACACCATCCACAACTGGACTTTGAGACGAAGACAGAGAGAGGCCACCATTGCCGTGCAAGTTCATACTCGGATCAGTATCAATCAGCCCAGTATGTAGAGAGGTAGCCAAGCCAGGGCTATGCACTGATGACTTGCGCAAATTATCATTCTGATATACACCAGATTCTCCATTGCCCATTGATATTTGCGTGACAAAAGCTTCAGAAGACTTTATAGGCAACATAACATGAGGCTCTGGAGCAACTTTATCAGTTCCATGCACATATCCAGTAGTTCCATAATCTTCAGTAACAAGCCCTGAATTCAGTTTCTCTACATACGATCCACTTTCTGAATTGTCTCCTTGGGATACATTAAGGAGATATGAAAGGGAATGATCAGTAGCATGCATCGGCTTTGGAACTGAACTTTCTAGAGCATCTAACTCATTTGAGGACAACTTTGCACCATGTGCGTTGTAAATTAACCCTGTATCAACCAAATTGCTCCAGGGAGCAACATTTGGACCTGCACTTTTATCCTGATGAAAAAACTTATCCTGCCGTTGAAATACAGGATCACCATCACGACATTTTTGTGTCACATTACTAGACAAACTTTCGTCTTGGTAATATACTGGTGGCTGTGAACTGGCTGGGCCAATAATTTCTTGATTGTACTGTTGATCAATATGATTAGAAACAAGGTAGTTTGATTCATCTGTATGGGCAATGTCAGGGGGTTTAATACATTCAAAAGCTGGCCCAGTCCTACTTATTGTTCTCTCCAACTCATTAGTTTGACATATTTTCTGGGAAAATGATTGGGTCATGTAGGAACCAGCAGGTAATGACAAATTT